GGTGGCAAAACTGCTCCTAAAGAAAGCATGAAGTTTGCTGGCACCCAGCAATCTTTCTAACAACCCATAAATTCTTCATTTTGATGGCAGGATGTCTCTCATGGCATCCCACGTAACTGCACATCCACTCCCTTGCGTGCATGTCCTTTAGAAAAGAAAAAATTGTATGGGCAAGTATTAGCCAAATGAAAATGCTTCTATCTCGCACCAAATAGGCCTGTATTTAATTGGCTCCCTAATTGCATTTAATGGCAGGCTGACTAGAATAAATTCTCTTTTACTTTTGTAGTCGTTCTTTTTGGATCATTACCTTATTTCCTTATTTTCAATTTCTTTATTGTTCTAGTTTGTAGGTTTGTTATTTTTGTTATGCTGTTTTCTCTCTTTATCTATAGTTTCATATATCTCTTTTGTGCTTTTTGTCTAAAATGGTTAGAACTCAGCTATTCTCTTTACTCTTTTTATCTTCTCTTTGATTTCCCTGCTCTATCTAGAATGCTTCTTTGGAAATTGATCTGAATTGTAGACTACGGGATTACATAGCTCCTTCTTCTTCCCTTTGCATTCTCCATTTTATGGTCTCTTTAGATTTTCCTGTATGGCCCCTTTATTTGGTTTGATTATGTAGACATGAGATTATATACCTTGTTGACCTTTACGACTCCGTTCCATTCCTTTGTATGAGATCCCAATTAGGGTGCACCAAGGAACAACTACAGCTAGTTTGGAAGTTCTCTCTTTATGGAATAGAAGTCCCATGTTGCCAATTTCTAACTGTATAGTAGAGACACATTAGGTGGGTGATCATGAAGATTTAGTGGAGGCTCAACAGACATAAGATCGTCAAGATGTGTGTGAACACCAATAGAGTGTAGCAAGGATCTTTGGCTTCACTTTGAAAACTCAAGTCCATGTGATGCAAACTTGTGAAGAAGCATGTCTTTAATTAAAAGATGATGCTGCCAGCTTCTTTTGGGGTGACAGCCACCCCCTATTTGGAGTAAATGAATGGATTTCAGAATGACCTAGTTTAATTTATTTTTTTTCAGTTTCCTCGAAAAGAAAACTATGTAAATAAGTCAAATTTGTTATCAAGTCTGGAACATTTGACATTTGTTGTAGCTTAATATGGTGGTCCATCCAGATTATTCAGCCCATAATATTTTGATAACATGTTAAATTAAATCGTTGCCATATTAACAGTCCTCTAGCTGATAATTGATCACAATTAGTTGAGAATTGGCCAGTTACTTACAGGATATACAAGATACTATCCTTATGGAGTTTGCTATTATGAGCACTGACTTCTCTTGATTAAAAGTAGTTAACTTTGTTAAATTGCTATTGAGGTGACAAGTTCTGCAATAGGTGATTAAGTTGGTGACTTTTTATGACAACTACTTTGTGTTTTATTATTCTATTGAGTAGATGATGAGGCAATTATTCATCGTATCTGAAGTAGAATCTAAAAATTTCAGTTTCCTGACAGTTTGAAGAATATGATGAAGATTCAACATGTGTTATGTCTCTTTGGGGGAGGATTATTAGAAAAATACGTTTGAACTTTCACTACAGAGCTCATGTGTAAAATGTTTGGTCCTGCTTGGTTGGATGTATTGAAGATATGCAACTAAAGTTTAGTGGTGATTTCCGGTTTAGTGAGACTAGTGAACAACAATGACTTTTCAGTTCAGTGAGGTAGGCAGATGATAAGGCTTTGGGAAACAAACATGAAGTTGAGATCCGTGTTTCATTATTTTGTAACTTCATTATTGACATTATTTACATTTAGGCCTGGGAGTCACTATCTGCAAACTTGCATGTGTGTGTGCACACAAATGCACAGAAATAGGTTTCTGTTTCCTCCTGAAGTAATTTTATTGGGATGGGTTTATGACTAGTGACCTATGTCTTTATTTTTGATGCTACTATATTATAATTCTCTTACACGCAGTTAATTACTTTNNNATACGTATTTTTCTGTATAAACTATTTTCATGATCACTGTTGATATGACTAAATACTGTTGATGATAAGATTATAAATTAGAGGAAACTGAAACATAGTTTGATGCATCTTGACCCTTGCTTTCAGCAACGACCTGAAGACAATGACCGCTATGTAAAGAACTGTAGAAATGGGAGATCCCCTAAGGAGACCCGATGGTGGTTCCATGATGACAAAGTTTGATAATCCAAGTATCTTCCTGCAAGTAGTTGAAGTAAATTAGAATAGGGGGTTTCCATTTCAGAAGAGATGGAGAGGAAAAAGAAGCATGGTTTATGAGGAGAATTAACTTGCAAATGGCAATGACTGTTATTTGTAAAGGAAGAGATATACTTTATGTAAGAAACAAACTCACTCTGGTCTTGGTGGTTAACCCACGAGACTTAACTTCTGCTGCCTACAAAGAATGAAGTTCTTGAATATTTGTCTCTCCCCTTTTTTTTTTTTTTTTTTTTTTTTTTTCCGTTTTTTCATACAAAACTTCTAAAGACATTCTGGTTTTGATTGGAAGCTCTGAGGATCAGCGAATCAGTGAGTTACTCTTTTTTTATTTGGTTTGGTCCTTGTAATTCTTGTATTATTGAGAAAAAAAAAAAAAAAAAAAAGGGTGTCATATATAATTTGTGCCTGGCGAAGCAGCAGGGCGATGGGACCCAAACTGCGTATCTTTAAGGGGTGGCCGTTAGTCCGGCCATGACTTTCTTTGGCCCAAACTGGGTAATCTGGACCTCTCCATGCTCAACAATGCATCTGCCCAGTGTTACTCTTGTCTGCAATTTTGCATGTTTATGTTTTTCGCTTGTCCGAGCTTAATGTTGTGGAAAATTTGAGCTCAAAATGTTAATGACAGGTCAATCATGGCAACATCAAAGAATTTTTTTAAAATAATTGAGAGCAGGAGAAAAGGATGATTTCTTCATAGATAACAAGTGATTTCGAATTTTAAATGGAAACATTTTGAAAAAAAATGTCCTAATATACGTAATTTAAATTGTATATTTATTGTTTGTTATTCATGTTTAATTATAGTACTTAACTGGAGGACAAAGAGACAACCATTTCCCCTCTTACATAGAAAAAACTCTTGGAAGAAATATATATATATATATTGGAAATATAAATTTAAAAGAGGGAGGAGATATAAAACGGCGTCGTTGAACGTCTTGAGTGGACATCGAACAGTGACCTTGTCAGCACGAAAAATCGGTTAGACAATTGACGAGGATGAGATCCCCATAAATAATGCTGACTAAATAATATTGCACAGTAAAAAAGGATATGGTGGGGAACACAAAGTAGTCATCTCCTCATAAACCGTCGTTGCTTCTCTCTGTCTCCTTCGTCAACCTCCTCCTTTTACTCTCTCCCTCCTTCCGTCCCCCTCTCTCTCAAATTTTCTTCTTCATTTTCTGATTGTTTGTAGCGAAAGCATGACCAGCCCTTCCGCCTCCGCCTCTACTCGCAAGGTATGCTCTCAGTTCGTTTCCCTGCGTTATATAGACCTGCCTCTCTGTGGTGTTCTTTGCGTAACATACGCCTCTGTTATTTCAGTTTCTCCACGTTGATGGATTCTGTGTTTTAAGAGTATTTAAATTGGGTGGTTTTTCAGGCACTGAGTAAGATCGCTTGCAATCGACTCCAGAAAGAGCTCCTTGAGTGGCAAGTCAACCCTCCCGCTGGCTTCAAACAAAAAGTTACCGATAATCTCCAGCGGTACCTCTTCTTCTCGCTTTCGTTCTCTCTGTTTAGGGATTTTCTTTTGTTTTCTTGATTATCGGCCTTACATTGAGAAGACTGACAGAAACGAGAAAACTGTGAAGATTTCGGATCTTCTGCTTACGACTTGGATTTCTTGACCAGCAGTTGTTTTTTTTTTCCCCCCTTTTTTGTTGTCTTTACTAAGCGGTGGAACTGGCGAATTGAGTTGAGACAGCTCCTTGTTATGCTTTGGTTTAGATTTAGGAAACTGATACTCTCCTTTTTTTCATCGTTGCTTTTTTTGTTTCGAATGCGTTTATTTTGATCGGAATCTCACTTAGATGTTTAAGTCTTTTCGCATCAATTGTTTTGGTTAATTTATACTGCGTTGATGGAAGGTGGATTATTGAAGTAAATGGAGCTGCAGGAACACTGTATGCTAATGAAACCTACCAACTTCAAGTTGATTTTCCTGAGCATTATCCTATGGAAGCCCCACAGGTTTGCTATAAAATCATCAGAGACTATAATTATCTTTCTAATCTTCCTTTTAAGATTTGCATACTGATATATGATTTCTGACAATTTTTGGTGGGGGAAACAGGTTATATTTCTTCATCCAGCTCCACTGCATCCTCATATCTATAGCAATGGTCATATTTGTTTAGGTAACCACATTTTATGTTTCATCCTGTATTATCTAATTTTTTATGTACTTACAATTAGCATATTTGAGCATGGCCGAATTAGCATACCTACTTTGCTTGAAAAATTGGTATGAGATATCTGATAACTAAATACATCATAATATTATTGTGGTTGCTAGATTCTATTCACTCGTTTTTGAAAGTGATGGCCTTGGCCTCCAGTATTTCCCCATTACCGTTGTTACCTCAGATTTTTCTCTTTAATGTGAGGTCAGCAGTTGCTGTCTTTCTTTCAGATTTTTCTCCTCTTGTCCTCTTTTTATTAAGCAATATACCACATATTGTCTTTTCTTACTGGATGAAATTTCATCCTTTCGAATTGGCAACTATACAGATCATGGAGTTGTTAACTAGCAATTCGATATCTGAGACTCTATTGCCTGTCAGAAAAATGCTTTTCTTTGTTTCTGATAATATTTTTGAGGCTTGAAATGAAGGCCAGTTGAGTTGATTCTTTTCACTTTTTCTGAAGTGCAAACTATGCAAACATTTTCACCATGAACTTATTACCAAGTCCAGAAAATACTTGTCCCTGTTATCATCATCAGAACTACTTACCATATTAGCAGTTCTCTAACCGTTAAATAAGGTGAGAACTGAACTAGTTATTAATTGGATAAGACACAGGATATTAATTGAAGGTTGTTAAGTTTCCATTGAGATTACAAGGCTTACAGCAATGGTGCATTAAATTTGCAACTGTTTCTGAAAACTTGGTTGTGTTGAATTGTTCTATTAAATGGTCATAGGAAGATTTCAATTTTTTTTATTCCTAGTGAAATTTAGGGCTGAAATATTTTAATATCCCGGAAGTTTGAAGAATATCTTTGCCTGGAAGGTTTAATGGCTATAGTGCCTTTTGGCTAAGAACTATTAGAAAAATGTTTGTTTTTGTACTTTAAATGGTTATTTGTGAATGTTTGGTATGGTTTGGTGCAATGGGTTGAAGACATGTAACTACAGGTTAGTATCGGTTCCAATTTAATGAGCTTACTGAATAACGACAAAATTTTAGTTCAGTGAGATAGTAGAATGAGAAGACTTCAGAAAATGAGCATTGAATTACTAAGCCTGTGTTTTATTGTCTTCTAACTTACTTTTCAAAAGGTTAACCTAGGAAATTATGTTATTTATCTTTTGTTTCGAGAATGGCAAATATATGTGCATGTATGCATAAATATACAGAAAAGTGAAAAAGAAAGAGCACAAGTATACACAGAAGTAAAAAAGAAAGACTGCCAGCTTCTGATTTCCATCATCTGGAGTTCTTGTTATGGTGTTATGACTTTTAACCTATCTAGCTTACCTTTGGAAGCTATTTAATTTATTTATTTATGCAACTGAGGTTACACGACTTATATATTTTTCTGTTATGCACTTTATATGCCTTTGGTTGTTGTAGTATAAGACTTCAATTATATATCTTGCGTCCAGATTTACATCTAATATGCCCCTTATCCCATCTAGATATCTTGTATGATTCATGGTCTCCGGCAATGACTGTTAGTTCTATCTGCATCAGCATTCTCTCCATGCTATCAAGCTCAAGTGCCAAGGTTTGGGTCCACAACTAACTCTATTATGTTGATTATTAATTGTTGCACCTCTAATGTGCCTTTGGATAAATATTGATCATAAGATCGTAAATAAGAGGAGAGAGAACCTGAACCTTTCTGTAACCTCAGGCATAATCTGTTGCATCTGATCTTACTTGCAGAAACGCCCTGAAGACAATGACCGTTATGTGAGGAACTGTAGAAATGGAAGATCTCCTAAGGAGACCCGTTGGTGGTTCCATGACGACAAAGTTTAATAACCCAAGCACCTCATGTCGTCATTAGTTCAAATAATTAGATTAGACAGCGTGATATTTTAGAGGGAATGGAAACAAGAACAAGAAAAAGCATTCTGAAATTCGTGTGTGGAGAATGCTTGGTAACTCAGATGGTAAGAACTGTTAATCGTGAAGGAAGAGAGATTTTCTGTAAGAAACAAAATTCAATTGGTCTTTTGTGGTTTATCCCAAATGAGACTGTCTCCGCCGCACTGTAAGCACAGAGAATGAAGTCTCTGAATCTCTATTTTTCCAGTGTTGTTTTTTACAAACATTTTGAGTTCTGATTTTGATTGTTAGCTGAGTGTCAATTCAGAAACAGTACTGTACTATTGGGGAAAGAAAGGTTGTTCCATGTGCTGGCTGGAACTTAAATTTGATCTGGGGGTAGGGTCCAGAAATTTTAGAGGACCTCTTCTGTCTTGCCTTTTTCTTTTTTTTTTTTTTTCCTCTCTCGGGTTGGGGTTGGGACCGCATAATATATATCTATATATATATATATATACATATATTTGGGTAAAGTGGGGCATTACATATTGACTGGACTACGGAGTTGCCCATGCTCAATAATGCATGTGTCGCAGGAGCCAGGCTAGCCTTGTCTACAAAAAAAAAAACATCCAATATTCTTTTTTCTTTTAAAAGAAATTAAATTTCATCATATTATTTTCATTTCAATTTTCTCAATTCAATTTTAAAAAATAAAAATTGAAAAACAATATCATGCATGGAAACCCATTTGCATTTTTCTTTTCTCTTTTGTTTTTGTATAACGAGGAATTTTTTTTTTTTTCTTTCTTTATTACCCTTTTCTAACTTCTATAAATGAAAAAAATAAAAACTATTACAACTAGAAATATTAAATAGAAACTAGTCGTGGTCGCCTCGTCCCAGTTTTGATCTACCACATATACAATTATATATGTGTACATATAGAAATGTAGAACTATAAAAAAAAAAAAAATAATATAGCAAACGAATAATTCACTTCCTAGTCAAAATAAAAAATGAATATTGTGTAAATCTTCAACCCCCTCCACAAGCCATCCGTGTGAAATTTTGCCACCTGGCCGGACATCTAACTTTCCATCCTTGACTTTCGCATTGCAAACTTTTTGTCTTCATCCATTTGTCCGATACATTGTATCTTCTTATCATCACTGTCCTGGAGTTGAAGCTATCAAGGCCAAGAGACACAATGGCCGAGTTAACTCACCGAAGAATCAAGACCAACGGGATCTACATACACGTAGCAGAGCAAGGGACAGGACCTCAGCTCGTTTTATTGCTCCATGGTTTCCCGGAGCTCTGGTATTCATGGCGCCATCAGATCAGCTTCTTAGCTAACCATGGCTACCATGTCGTTGCTCCTGATATGAGAGGCTATGGCGACTCGGATGCTCCACTCTGTCCCAGCTCTTATACTTCGCTTCACCTTGTTGGTGACCTTATCGGCCTGCTTGACCATTTTGGCCAACAGAAGGTCCTTCTCTAAATCTTTCCTTATATACACAACAGTATATAGATACCCACATACATATGTATATATATATATATAAATCTGGGTATATATTCTGATGTGTGTCGTAGGCTTTTGTGGTTGGACATGACTGGGGAGCAATTGTGGGTTGGCATCTAAGCTTGTTCAGGCCTGACAGAGTGAAGGGAGTCATCTCATTGTCTGTTCCATACTTTGAGAGAAACCCAGATGTTAAATTTGTCGAAAATTTCAGACAAGCTTATGGAGATGGCTTCTATATCTGTCAGTTTCAGGTACATCTCCCTCGCTTGTGAGTCTATACGTGTGTGTGTATATATATATATATATATATATATGCGTGTATATTGTTGCGCAATGTGACCAATTTAACCAGGAAAACGAAGTACGAAAATAAATGATGAATTCCAATTTTATTTAACCTTCATTTATTCTTATCTAAAAGTTAGATGGACTACAATTATCTTCTAAGAACCAACTTTTTAATCACTATAAGAAAAAAATCAGTTACCCATTAAAAATTGTCAGACATTCTAAAAGTAACAAATATATCAGCTATACTGGTACAATTACATACAAAAAGAAAAAGGAAGAGGAAGACCATAGAATTACAATGTGATATCTCGCTTGCTTGGTCATATGTGAAAATGTAATATTTCTTGGTATTTAATTTGAAGTTGGTGTGTTTGAGCAGGAAGCGGGAAGAGCAGAGAAGGCATTTGCAAAGTATGATTGTTTGACAGTGCTGAAGAAGTTCTTGCTGATAAACAAGACAGATCTTCTGATAGCTCCGCCGGGCATGGAGATCATTGATTACTTGGAGATGCCATCTTTACCATCTTGGATCAAAGAGGAAGAAATCCAGTTTTATACTGATAAGTTTAAGGAATCTGGATTTACTGGTCCTCTCAATTACTATCGAGCCTTCGATTTGTAAGTTTAAATTTTAATTTCTTTTTCTAAAAATTTCTCTTTAGTTTTTAACCAATGAGATCGTCCCTCTTTTTTCTTGCCTCATAAATGCATCTATCTGTTCTTGTATGTGCTCAATCTTAGAGATATCAAGTGATTATTCACGTATATGCTCGGCCTCGAGGGTATTTTTCTGTTGTTTTATGTTTGTTGTCTCTATATTTTTACATGTATTACAGGAATTGGGAACTTCTTGCACCATGGCAAGGGTCAAAAATTTCAGTTCCAGCAAAGCTAATACTTGGTGACAAAGACATAAACATTGAAGCTACAAGAAGATATACCACAGGGGATGTATTGAAGAACCTTGTGCCCGAACTGGAAGTGGTTTTTCTAGACGGACACCATTTTATCCAACAAGAGAAACCTCAACAAGTCTCCCATGAAATTCTCTCATTCCTCAACAAAATTCCTTAGAAGGAGAGAGTACTCTTTCCATGTCATTCAAAGTCTCATATTATGTTTGGTTTGGCTTGAGTCCAACCTTTGTATCTTTATTTTTGATTTGGGACAAAATTTAATTCCTAAAAGTACTGAGATCTTTATAGTTTTTAAATATATTTTCTTAAGATTATAATGCATTATCTTCTTAGTTATTAATCATTACTAGTCAATCAGTATAATATTCAAAACTGATAGTAACATATAAAAATAATTACAACATATAATCAAATTTAATAAATGTATTTACTACAAAATTATCAGTATTTGGAATCCTTTCCCAATAAATTTCACCATTTGAAGTGAAAATCTCTTAATAATTAATTAATTAATCAATTTGTTCCATGCAAAAACTTTATCTTTCTATTCTAACCTCATCTTATTTCTAAGGGCAAAAATCCAAAGGAGAAAAGAAAAAGGAGAGAGATAGAGAGAGAGAGAGAGAGAACTTAATCCTTCCTTCTTGTCATTCTTAGCAAGTTCAGGACATTCTCATACACGATAAATGTTATTGAGGCAGCAGGAACATTTTTCAAGAGGCTGGGAGTGACTCCCTTGTAAAACCCTCTAAGACCCTCAAACCTGCAAGCCTCCCAATATAAAATGAATGTAAGAAAAGAAGATAACACAAAGCCACTCGAAAAGAGGAAAAAGAAATTTGTACTAAATCCAGATTATAACTAATCAAATACTCAAGATTACTAGCAAGATTCTTGCATTCGGTTTTAGCAATTTGTTTGCAACTCATGTATTATTAGAAGGCCAAATATATAGTATTTACTGAAGCGCCTGTCAATTTCTTTGTACATCAAAATCATAAAGAAATATCTTATAAGATTGAGTATACAGTGGAGTACTCTATTTTATAATAATTTGATCACACTTTAAAATGACCAATCAAATCCATGGAATGAGCTTTCTATCAAACTATTAAGGGAAATGGAATACTATATGAGCCGTAACCTATTTAACAATTCTGCAAATCCTGTTTGTGATGACCACAACATGCTCACTTAACTTAAATTGCAGGGTATCTGAAATGCCAAAGCATAAATGAAGTAGCAACATGGGGGCTAAAAAATTCTCACCTTGCAGTTTCCTTAATAACATGCCAGCTATCCATATACCTTGGAGTTCCATTCTTATTGGGTCGTTGCTGAGGAGGAAAAAGGATGTATCAGCCAATTCTAGTTGTTAATAAGAAGACAACTGCATTCTGTAGCTAAATTTTCAATTAAGGCTAAAAGTAATAGAGCATCTATACCTGCAATCGTGCTCGTATAACCTGGAGAAAGAAGAGAAGAAAAGAAAAAAGAAAAGCAGATAAGATGCAATTATCAGCTAACAGATAAAATGACATTACATAAGACCCACTTTTACTAGAACCAGCCAAAATGACTTGATAAACGAGACACATGCCTGAACTGGATATGTAAAAAGAATGGCAGCAACTTTAGAAGAACCGCCAAGTATCGCATAATCAATTGAAGTCTGTACAAAATGCTAAAGTATCAGAAATCTTTCACCATCATCTCATCTTAGACAGATCATATCACAAAACAGGTACTGAGAGAGAAGCAGATGATATCTAGCAAGGCCTCTCAGAGAAATGTAAAGAGAAGACAAGTATAAACAGCAGTAGACTAATGGTTAGCACCATTTGTAGCATCACATCTTCCAACTTCCAAGTGCTCGAGAGGAGGCCACTTTTAAAATGTACTATCTTAGTCACTCATTTAGTTCACTGTATACTGTAAGTACTTACCAATAAATCGTGTTGATCCCCAGAATTTCTTTTCATTTCTTTCAAACCAACAAAAACTGTACGAAGTTCCTCATATGCTGTGAACTGAATAGCACCATGAGAAACCTGCTGAAGTAACAAAAATTATTAGGTATGTGTCCTGAAACTGTCTCGAAACATTGACACAAATTTTTCCAGTTAGGGATTTTCATCCTGGCTACAAATTTATTTCACCAAAAAAAAAATTATGCCTGCAGTCATTCAATATGACCCACCAATACAGCACAACTTGTCCGTCCATATTTCATGGTTATGTCAACCAACTAATGTAGGATAAATAAGGTTGATTTTGTGCAATTAAAGATTTTGGAATAAGAAACCTAAACATCACACCTAGGATTTCTTACACATCTTATCTACCAAGTCTTAATAAGGGTTTGATTACATAACACAACTAGGAAATTGAGAAAGTTCTATAAATACTATTTAACTTGAATGTGTCTTCTCAAGATGTTGCAAATCATATTTGTAGTGTTAAATAAGTTTTTCCTATACTAGATTAGGGAATACCAAAACTAAATTAGGAATTTCAACTTTTAATAAAATATGAATACTAATATTAAACAGGTTAAGAGCATTAGTTCTTATATAAATAAGAAATATTAAAACAAATAGGAAATCTAAATACAAAAAGGAATAAAATCCTAAAGTTACCAAAATTATAATAATAGACTCCTAAACAGTATAATGATTTTATATAACTTCTAATCTATCTAGGCAAAATCCATTCTGCATCACCAACACTCTGAATTCTTTCATGGACATGGCTACACACAAAAACACATTATGCAAGCATGAGAGCTAGATCCCAAAGCTCTCCAAACTACGTCGGCAAAAGAAAAATTAGAGCTCTAACTAAACAATTGGCATAGGCAGAACTCCAACAGCATACTACCCTTGTGAATTAACTATGCCATGACATCTTATGTCAAAGACTGAAGTTATAACAAAGTAAAAATGTCTATTTCACAAAGAACAAAAGATAGATGGAAAAAGAATCAAACTAAACAATGAGCTTACATGGCAAAACCCCACTACACAATGATTCAAGAGAATAGAAGAAGAATAGGTTTTCATTTAATAAAAATCTATTTTCATGCAGCGGAGAACAATTGAGAAATACATCTTAGAAGCAACCAGAGAAATTAAGAAAAAGTAAGCAGAAATCAATAACTCTCGTTGCTGCGTGACCCATAAATATGTAAAAAGACTTACCAGCAGAAGACTGGGGACAATCCCCCTATAGAGGGCCCTCCATCCTTCCTCTCTCATTATGGTTCTTAAGGCATCTAATGTTGATGGCATGTGAAACAGATTGCAAAAAAAACAGTTAAAATTTTAGTGTTAAAATTAAGCACCAAAACAAATGGTTATTTGGTAAGAATGCAAAAAAGTAAGGAAAAACTTGAAAAACGAGATTGAATTATTCTAATTCCAAGTTGAAATGCTGAAAATCATATCCTTATTTCATGTGCCTCTGAAGAACAAAAAGTGAAAAATGTTTCACCATGACAAGTGTAAATTCAGTAGCTCTTGACAGGCAAATAATGTGAAAAGGCAACAGCTCCCGACAAGCAACCTACTTAAAGTGACTACACCATCACCAAATTCAAATATCAAGAAAACCATTCAAATAAAGAAGAGACTGCCTAAAAAATTAGAGCGTCATCTTTTCCTAGATCAGCAAGTGAACATAATTTGATTGCTAAAAATTAGTGTCAAAAGTCAATATGACTGCCAAAAAAAAAACCATCTTAAAGGTCTTAATCTCAGGTCATATTATTAGCAAGTTAGTAAAAAGATGAATAGCAGACCATAAAACCCAGAGTACTGTCGAGTTTGGTGAAGAGGATTCTGAAGCTGCAACCTAGTCTTCACAAGCCAAATAGGATTCGTGCACAAACAAACCTGAATTCAACAAGGTTGCAAGTAATAGTGAGATTAAAACATAAACTTACATCCCAAAAAGGCAATAGGGAATCAGGATTACTACTGTTACTGTCCCAAGAATCAAGATTAAACTCGACCAACACATAGCATAACTGCCAATTATTCATTGTCAGGCAAAGACATGGCAGTGACAGTTTGACAGAATTTCCAGACAACGCCCGTGATATTCAGGCAATGACAATGCACAATCTGGAGAGTTGCCGAACATTTTACATTCTGTTTTGTTGTTACAACAGCACTATCTTTGTTTACTTAGTTATCATCACTAATCTTTTCCTATGATCCAATAGTCTTGGAAGTTTAAACCTCTACGTTACTTTATAGGTAATTTGATATCTGTTATGTAAATGTCGCAACCAAAAAAATACCAGCCATGTTACAGGCATAAAAATGATGGTACACACCAAACCTCCAGCTTCTGCTGCAGAAGCAAGATGAAGACCAGCACTCAGCTTATCATCTCTGCCTCTGGCATACCTTTGCTTTGCTCTACCATAACTGCATGTCAAATATGCTTCAATAATTTTGGTTAACAAATTAACATAAGCTGTCAAAGAACAAGCAAACCAAACTGAAAGGTGATGAAGAAAAACAGCATTATGATGAAAAGAATAGTTTTTGAAAAAAGAAAAGGAAAAGGCATCTGATATTGACATAAGTAAATCAAATGGATGACAAACATGGCAGCATATAACTAAATTTGCAGAATTCTTAGATTGCTACTCACAAGAAGAAGTATAAACCCCATGAAACAGTAGAACCAAGAACTGCAGGATAGAAGCCTGCATAAAGTCCTCTCAGGCCCTGCAGGAAGGAAATGGAAAGCTTTCTTTAAAAACAGAAATCTAGCAATCAGCAATTCTTTTCAGCCTCTTTTTTTTCCCTAGAAAAGAGATCTAATGATATCTTAGTCTATTACATGTACCATGGATAACAACTCAGGTGAAATATTGAAAGGAGAGAAGTTTTATCTTTCAAAAGAAAACAAAGCTTCTCAGCCTGAAAATTAGCATGTTCCTTTTTCAATCACAACGTCCACCTTTAGCCATTTCCGATCAATTAAAATTGATTATGAAATGAATCTACTTCCAATTTTTTAGCCGTTAAACCCTCGATCCCCAAAGTTCCACCATTTTACAGTTTGAAGCCTAAACTATCAATACTGCTGTTCTCAATTCCAAAACCTATTAGCCTATGGAGAAGATAATTCGATCTCAAGAAGGAAAAGAAAAAAGAAGAAAAGATATTTAAACTTATGTAGGATCAGTTCCTCCAAAAATAAAAAAAAACATATGGGATCGGCAAAACGTTGAATGCCGCAAAAGCGTCAGGCACATACGCTACTAACAGAAAGGTTTCATAAATTAAAAGAATAATCAGTTGCTGAGACTGACAGTTGAAGTTCTGGAAAAACTTACCTCGAAACGAGCAATGGTTAGAACAGCGTGGACAGTGTTCTTATAAGTTGGAAGATTCGAAGCTCTACCATCATGAACTGCTCAACTGACTAAATCAAATAAGCAAAAGAACGACAGAGAAACTTTGAAAAGTACAAACACACAGATAGGTGAGTGTGTTTGTATACCTTGAAATCTGGTACGGACGACATCGAGAGGGTGCATGGCGGCGACGGTGGCGAAACCCGCGACGGCACCTGCTGCGGCGTTTTCCCATTGCCAATGCGACTGCGACATTTAGAGTTGATGAGCTGAATTTGCAGTGATTTTGAGGAGGAAGGAGCGAGGAGAAATGATTTCTCATTTGTTGAAAAAAATGAAAAACAGTAGCGTAACGATGCAGCTCTGCAAGACAATGGTGGCAAAAAACTGATTAATTTATTTGAAGGTATGAAAGTTCCATGGAACAAGAAATAGCGGCGGCCGAAAGGGAAAGCCTTGGACGACACCTTTGCTAGGGGAAGTTAAAGGCCCATCTTCAGGGCTCAAGGCCCATACCGCGCCTCCATTAGGAATTGGATGGTGCCATGGTGAAAAAATTGGTCAGAACTAGATCGAACCAAATTAAACCAGATCAAAAACAGATGAAGATGAACATTTTTTTATTTACTAATTAAAAAATTAGTAAAATATTAGATTGATATATAATAGAAGGAAGATGTTAAATTTCAGAATTTAGTTATGTATTCTAGCATCCTGTTTGGATCGTGATAAATGATAAAATTTTAATGTATGAAATTTTACGGGTACGAAAAAATTATATATATATATTTATATTTTCAATTGTAGCAAACGGTATTTGATCGATAAATTTGGGATGAATTTTAAAATCATTGAATCGATGGTATGTTACCGACATGTTATTTTTTTTTTACTCTTATATTCCTATATAATTTATTTAATTTCATTTTTATTTTCATAAATTATTATTTATTTTATTAAATATAAAATTTTAATTTAATTATATGTAATAATTATTTATTTAAATACAAATATAATTTTATTAGAAACTAATTTATTTATTTTTTTCATTACATATTTTTTATATTTTATTTACTATTACATATAATAATTAAAAATAAATTAATAATTTAACTAAAAATATAACCATATTATCATATCATTCAAATAAAAATATGTTATTAATATACAATTATTCAAATATAAAAAATTTTTATCACTCTCATTCTTTGTCATTGTTATCTAACAATTGTCATTGTTATTATCATACATTAATTAACTATCATTAAAATTTATACAAATATAATATAAATGTTTATTATCGTATCAATTATAAGTTGTAAACTATATCCTTCATATACCTATTTTGTGTTCATAATTTTCGATCTTCATCAATCTCATATTTTGTTAATTACAGATTTATATTCATCCTAGTCGAAGTGGATGGAGCTAAGATTAGCAAATCACCCACTAGAAAGACCATTACCATACATAAGAAAATAAATCCAGAGACAAGTGCTTTGAATACATTATACAGTTTATATTGGAGAAGAATGAATTCAAGTTAATCATCAATCATTCCTTACAAGCCTTAAAGGCAGCATCTTGGAACTTCACATTCGGTGAGTACAAAAGAATTTTGTGACATTGGGAATCAAGTCTTCTGAGTTGTTAAAGGTACAATTTATAGGATTCTTTATAAAATGAATCCATTGAAATTTAGTTCTACAACATGTGTACGATGCTCGTTGCAGCCATCAAGAAATTAAAGACATAATCCATTAAGAAACAAAAAAGTGAGCTTTTATCTCAAATATGTAAGCAAATCAGTTTTATCAAAGAATGTTCTGCATTATGAAGGGAAAACTACATTGATCTCCAGGACTTGCAGGTAGATCCACATGATACTAATATCGGCTACTGTTGGATCTCATCAGCCATTTAATTGAAGCTTGGAACTTTCTACTTCTTTTTCATTTTCCTGTCTGAGAAAGTCTCAGAAACAAAAGCCAAATGATACTATATCTCGAAAATGCAGAGCAACAGTAAAGGAATACGATATCACATACATTATCGCCCTAATTCCATTTTGTGCACCAAAGATGCTCACTGGAACAAGCATGTATACATACACAAGAGGGTTGGAGGAATGATAAATTATAGAGCATATATAAGCAGTAAGTTGCATCTGGTTACAAGTCCTAGTCATTTTTGTATCAGACGGTATTGCACCCCATGAGTAAAACATACATTATCTTCTTTCTAACTTTTTTTTTATTGCTTGAATGGTATTCTAAATCATATCCTAAATAATATTGCAACCCATAAAAAGAAGTTGGGAAGATTTGGGTTGAAACACAACAATAATCTGCCTAAGAATCATAAAAGACAAGAGATCGTTGCTTTCTGATGGCAGAAAGAACATGATAAGAGACAATTTCAATTCAATGGGGTAGAGAATTATTCATCAAGAACGTTGCAGAAGCCCTAATTCCTATTTCCTCTACTCTAAAAAATACAATATTTTTTCCATCACCAGCCAGTACTTCCTTCTCACCACATCACAGAAATGCTTTCATCTACAAATTGCATTGCTCTGAGGCAGAAACCCAGATTGATTTCCCTTCATTTATAGTCTAATATAGAAGGTTTGCTTATATTTATATGAATTGCAGATTTACAGTCTGCTAAATAGGCATGCTAATTATCAAAATTATCCTTGAATTAACACCAAGACTAAGCGCAATCAAGAAGTAACAAATACGTATGTTGATCAAACTGTTCATTACTCACTTTCTGTTCTTCTCAAATGATTCAAAAACCAGCGCTTGAAACAGGCTTAAGCGACTCAGAGCAATAGAAAATTCACCATCTTTGATGTGAAATTCATTTGGACAGCTATAAAGAAAATCAATGGCGGGGTATATATGCAGATTAAAACTAACTGGGCCGACACCCCACAGACAGAAAAAGTAGAACTTGAACTACCTCACTCCATGGAGACCTTGGCGCCAACCTCCTTCATCTTCGAGATAATTTTCTCTGCCTCCTCCTTGGTGACTCCTTTCTTCAACAGAGTTGGCGCCTTCTCTACTAAATCCTTCGCCTCCTTCAGTCCCAAATCAGTAAACCCTCTCACTTCCTTTATCACCTTAATCTTCGCCGCTGCTTCGAACCCTTCGAGCTTGATATCGAAAACCGTCTTCTCCTCCTTCTTCTCTTCACCCTTTCCGGGGCCACCACCGCCGGCCCCTTTTCCGGAGCTCTTCGCTGGGAACCCCATCCCTGGCATCATCACCGCCATCGTCGGCATCTCCGTGATGTCCAGCTTCTGGCGCAGGATCTCCGTGAGGTCCATGGCTTCGAGCAAAGTGAGCGCCGTCATTTCATCGACGATTGCGGAGACTCTCTCCGAGGGAACTGGTCTTGATTCCTGCGCTGCAGATGACGTGTAATGAGATGATTGGACGGACGCGAGCCGATTAGGAATTCCCGGCGACCCAGGGTTTCGATAACTGGAATTAAAACTCCGTGATAAATGTGAGGAAATGAATCGTAAAAACCTCATTGTCGTGCAGTCAAGAGCTTTGTATTGTTGCTGCTGTGGATGTCATAGGAGCTTTTCGCGAGGTTTCAAATGACTCTGCATCCATGGCTTCGAAGAAGAAAATAGAACCATAAACCCTACGGAGAGAGCAGAATGGGCCAAACCGGGCCAAGATCCGAGCTTTCAACAAACCCACCTAGTACTCCATCAGACCCATTTAACCCACTAAATGGGGAAAATTGGAAAAGTAAAAAGGACATTTACTTCCGTAAATGGTTAAAATATTTAACAAAGCAAATATAATATCAAACCCAAATTTCATGTCTGGAAACTTGTGCAAAGAGGGAAACCAGGCTACTTACTGAAAGAGACAGACTAAGGCCTGGGGAAGAAAAACCAGAAGAAAACTTAAGATGGATCGGAAAGAAAAAGTAGTCAGCCGGAGGGTGACCAGATCACAAACAAAGGTCTACAATACCTTTATTGCCACCATAAACTCCCACCACAAAGAAGTAACCTTCTCTCTGTATACATTCATCATTTCTTTTATTCTTTAAATTTTTTATTTGTGTTACCCTGAGAAAGTGATTGTAGAACAACAGCTTTTGCCTAACTTGACTTATTATTGAGCAGGGTTTCATTTATTTTACTCAGTTTTTACATTGTAGTTTAAAGCAGAGACTTTTGGTCTCTTTTCTTTGGTGGGTAGAAGGAAAAGGAGAGATTTTATTTTTCTTACACACTTTTTACGGTAAAGTACAGATTTTTAGGGTGAGGCGTGCTAAGTATTTTACCTTGTTTTTTTTGTTTGCATAGAAGATAAAAGACCTAAAATGCGCTTTGTCTGAAGGATTTAGTTAGAACACAGGGGGTGTCTCTTAAATTTTTCTTTGGGATAATTGATTACCAGTTTCTATTACTTCAGATTGTAGTAGAACTCATAGTTCCTTTTCTGTTAAAAGATGAGAATGTATTGTTTTTATGATCACTTGGTAGAACATAAATAATAGATGAGATCATAATAATAGTCTTTAAATAATAACTCAAGTATACTTTTTCACTTATTTCTAATAGGAAAAAATATGTTTGAGAGGGAAAATTCTAATATGTCTCCAAGGCATGCTACGACCAAGAATGAATAAGTAACATTTATTAATTGATTATAATATATTTTATTCTTCAATTAAGATCTTCCTTATTTTGATCTAAATGTTGGAAATGATTATGGCTTGGAGGCTTATACTTCAATTTCACTGTATTTTACTTTGATCTTTAATCATTACTTTCAAGAGTAAACATGAAGTTAAACCCAAGATGACTGTTAACTCTATAAGGTTAACATAAAAACTTGTTGAATCTATTCGGCCGTCCTGTTTTAGCTTTTGACACAGAGAGTTTAAGACTCTATTACCAATCTTTAGGGTCAGTTTACAAGTTACCATTTTGATAAAATTCTTAATAGAAGTTCAATAATTAATTAAAATCCTTGCTTAAACTGTGTTCCTTTTCCTATTTTATTTTGCTTTAGCATGCAACATTAACTGTCATACATTCAATTTTCTAGAAGTTTTGAGCAGTTTTTTTTCCCTACCATCTGTTCCATCAATTATTTGAATTTATAATATAGAGTCTGAGCTTTATATTAGTTTTTCATGTATCATGTCTGAACTCTGTGATTGTGCAGGTGGTTTCTGAGGCACCATCTAATTCTCCATTTACTCCGCATACCACGAGCAATCTTACTTGTGCCACTGCCAGCGAGTCAAGGATGTTTGGAGGATCAGAAAAGAATAGTCAGACAAAACTAGTTTACTCTGCTAATATATCTATCCCAACAATCCACAAAATGCATGGTCTTGGAAATTTTTCTTCAGAGCAAACTCATATGCCAGAATCAAGGATTCTTTCAGCTATTGGTTCTTCTGCACAGATAAAAGCTGAAGCTGCTCGTCCCTTGTCATGGGTAAAAAATCTTTTATACATATATATATATATATATATCTCTGGTTATTTGGAGATATAAGTAATTAGCTTCCAATTTTCAACAAAAGGACTTTTAATTAATTTACCATTTTTCTATATATCCTTTAGTATCTCGTAAATTAATGAAAACTTGTGTATATGCTACAACTAGTTCTTGCCTTGGAGTTCCTTTTACAGGTATGCAGATCAACCCCAATGAACTCTCCATCAACTCCTTGTGGACAAGGATATCAGGTTTCAGAAACATATTCATCACGAACAAAGAGGCAGAGGATCAAACATTATGAGAGTTCTAGCACCCCATGGGCAGAGGAGAACAGAATTGTCCCTGCAACAAGGCCTTTTAGTAGCTCGCATTTGAAGTTCCATGAACGAAATCAATCTTCTGAATTACACCCTTCAAATGTGTCAACATTACTGAATGGGGATCTCAAGGATGGTAGCCAAACTGCTCTATTAGTAGGTAGGCTAGTTTCCAGTAAGAAGAGAAATGAAGCTTCTGAACAACCCTCATCAAGTGTCCAACCCACTATACCGAAAGGACACCTCAAGAATGGTGGAAAAACTGCTGGTGTATTAGCTGGCCAAATTTCCAACAATCAGATACTTGTGAAGGACGCAATAGCAGAATCAACTCTCGTTCAGAAACAGTCAGAAGAAAATACCAACAATTTGGATTCAGAGATTAGAGAACTAGGTCCATCTCTTAGTTTAAACCTATCAGAGATGGCAAACATGTGGCATGATGATCATTCGAATCAAGATGAAGCAGAAGTTCTGAGCTCTAATTCTTCTCTGGTTACAGTTCATGGATATAGAGTGAAGGAAACAGCAGCACCTATCCTTCACAAAATTTTCGGTAAGTATGGAGATATTGCTGTGAATTGCTTAATGGAGAGAGTAGAAATTCGATCATATTTTCTGGAGAAGGTCTGCGACGTTGTTCAAATGCTAGAAAATTCAAAACTCGAGGAACTTACACAACTTGAAATAACAGACATGCTTGATCTTGTCGATGATCTTATGAGAGGACGTCTGGATGTTGCGTGGCTTCAACAGAGGTTAAAAAAGATATCTGAGGCCAAACAGATTCTCAAGCATTCCTCCACTTTGAAGGAGACTAAGGCAAAGAATAGTCACTGTGCTGAGGAGAGTAAGAAAAGATTGGAAAATTTTCAAGCTGTGAAACTGAAAATTCAAGAGAAGATCTGCTTGATAGAGGACCATCTGAATGCAACACAAGAAGAGTCTAGAAAGATTGAACGAACAATCTCTGAGGCCATAGCTAAGGTAAAATGCTTCCACAAATCACTAGTGAATGACCTACTTTGATATCTTCTTTCACCAGCAAGTCGGAGAGACAACGACATGCCCAACTAATTTCACTTTCTAATATAACTGGAATGATTGTCCTTTTGTTACTAAAGAAATGCTTTTGTTAAGTATTCTGGATAGTTTGTGCAGTTTATGCCCTCAGACTGGATATCCTGTGTAGAATTTGTGTTCTGTCCTTATCATTATGCGATGAATAGCTTTTGGGGTTTTACCTAACATTTCGAATTGAAATATTTCAATGCCTAGGAGTGTCAGGTCGAAGAATAATTAAATCTCTTTTAACAGCATTTTCTTCTTTTATGTTCAGCAGGGAAAAACGAATATGAAATAAAGTTTATCAACTTGAGTTCCTATCCTGCCTCAAAGACAAGATTCTTTTCTAAGTTTCAAGATTATTTCATGTTACTATCCTGCAACGCGTATTAACATATAATCTGACAATGTTGATTTTGGTGATAGATTAAAAAAGGTTCTATCAGATTTAATGTGAAAAAATCAAGCATGTTCAGATTATTTAAAAACAAAGGTCTGAAAAGTGTTTGACAAGTTGGAGTATAGGATTTTCCTTTTGAAAGGAGACGAGAAAGACAATAAGGAAATAGAACAGGAAACCAGAGACATAACACATAGATTACTGCATATTGGGATTTTAGTAAGAGACAATCCTTCTTAAGAGTTTATCTTCCTGCAGTTCTTTCTGATCTCTCCTCTTGAGCCTGTCAATGGAGAGATATTTCCCATCTTAATCATAGACTTGGCAAATTGCACGAAGAAAAGCTCCTGGTTTTCAGCATATTGCTTCACTAACTCCATAGCTTGCTGGTTCTTTGTCAACAGAACTTGATCAGAGTTCAACAGTCCCTTATAAGCCAGCAAGTTCTTGAAGTAGCTGTTGTCAAACTTTGTTGGGCTAACGAAATCCAAGAAGAACAGGTTCTGGTCACCTCCGGATCTTGGGCAACGCCGACGCAACTGAGCAGCAAATGATTGGTCAATCGTGTAGTCAGGTCTTCCATTGCCTGTTTGGTTGTAGAGCCTCTGCCTGAAGCTGGTGCATCTAGCATTTCCGATTGTGTGACTCCCTAAATTTAGAAATTTTTAGCCATGGCTTTAAGTATAATAGGTTTCCAGACACACTTTAAATCAATTTAATTCATTTGAGTTACCAGAAAGAGCAACAAGATCAACAATGTTAAGTCCTTGACGCTTGAACTTGGTTAGAATGGTTTCAAAGGTGTTGTTTGGAGCAGGAATATCATTGTTGGAGCCACTCAAGCTTGCACCTCTCGAGTCCCTTCTTCCTAATGGGACTTCCCAGCTAGGTCCACCAGTCTGCCGACACAACAAAGATAATCAGCCATGGGAACTTTAGACAAGACCTACATTAATCGACAAAAACAAGAAATCATGCCTACAAGACTGCAAAAAGAAAATCCAACACTTACAAGAACTGTAGAATGTCTAGCAGCTAAAGTCAAAATGTCAGCACAAGATACAGTATGAGGACACTCCTTCTCTAGAGCATCCTTGATCTCGTCAAGAACTTCAAATCCACGAGCAGAATTCCGATTTGGGTTTGAGATTTTCTCAGTGATTATGCTGCCACTACCGTCTAACAACACCGACGCATCACAGCCCTGCAGGATTAACAACATGGTTCAATGAAACTGCAGAAGTAAACTACAAATATCTCACGAGGGATTAGGAAACCGGACCTTAACAAAACAGTCATGGAAATGTAGCCTGAGTAACGAAGCTGCCATGCGAGCTTCTTTCGCGACAGCTTTGGCTACTATGGACTTGACAATCTCCTGAGCTTTTGGGCATGAATGGTCATAAAACTGAGGATAAAGGTAGCCCCCAATGGTCTTACTAGAGAAGCAAAGTGGGAAAAATGCAAGAAGAGAAATGAGTAGAAGAAAGTTCTTAGACTTAGCCATTTTCTTCTTTGCTTTTCAAGACTATCCAAGAACAGTTAGAAATATGAAGAGAGAACTTTTGAAATCCGGGTGAATATGATGGGATGCAAGATGGGGTTATGGGGTATTTATAGAAGGGACTTTCTTGAATGGTCTAAAGAGAAAAGAAAAAGGAGAAAAAATGGAGTAGAGAAAGATGGAGTTGGTAACTAACTAGTTTGCATTTACAGCAAGAGAAGAAAATCAAGGCTGGAGTTGGTAGCAATTGCATGCTTAAGCTGACTTATTCAACATCATATTTTCAGTAGTAAGCTCTAATAAACCTTGTCATATTACTTGGAACAACAATCAAGTTCCTTAAGCTTTGATCATCCTTCCTCAATGGATTTACTTCTACTAGTTACTCATAATATATTAATCCAGTTCAGTACTTTGAAAGCTTAAAAGCAAAATCTTTGCTTGTGATCATTATTCTTTTTTTTCTTTGCACTTTGGAGAATTTGCTTGAGTTCTTAAAAGATTAAATTTAATTTTATCGTATAACAAATCATTACTTAACTGAATGATTGATACAGTTCTTCTTTTATAATAGATTGTGAGTTCTTAGTCAATTTGTACTTTCATGTGTAGTTTCGATTATAAACTATTTTGTTATATTATAATTGATGTATGTATATCATTTAATTAATTAATATATAAATTTAAAAAAAAAAAAAAAAAAAAACTGTTTGAGTAAGTTAATCTAAAAACTCAAGAATACTTAAATTAAAAGAATCTCCTGTTTAAATATTGATGGTGATTAAGAAAAAGAAAATTCATTTCAACTTCCCTAAGAAAAACCTTTTGAAAAGACATAATTTATGATATTACATTGGCGTCAACAAGAGTTACTAACTGAACCAATAATTTATATGCAGAAATTCTCAATTATTGATCTGGTCAACCAGCTAAGATTTTAATTAAAGAGAAAATTACAATTATCCTCTGGTTTTAAATTAATAATTTTGTACATTATTATCTTCTAATTATTTTAATGTTCATCTTCTACATGTTTATGGTTAAAAATTTAGATAATTTGAATTTTAATTAAATAAAAAATCACATGAAAATAAATTATATTTTACCCAAAATAATAAAAGAAGATGAAGACAGAAGGAGCAGATTCACCTGCTCTCTTGAAAAATTTGAAAAGAATCAATTTTATTGACAAAAAATTCCTTCCAAACATAGTGTCTGCGGCTTCGTAAAGTTTATTATACGCACACACATGCAAAAGTGTTTGAAAATTTCATAAACTCACAAAATTAAATAGCTTAAGTAAAATCTAACGGTTGAAACTTCATCTAATGATTTTTAAACTAACGGCTGAGATTTATTAAATTGTGTTGGTATAGATAATTATAAAACTGTTATAGCTCTCAATTTGATTTTGACGTCGATCAAAGTTATGCCTACAGCTAATATACTATTCTTTCTTTTGTATTTTTTGTAGTCATTTTAATTTCGTAGTAATTAAGTGGTTCCCGTATTGACGTCATATATTTTATTTAAATAATACCAAATTAAAATTTATTTATTTTATGAATATATTATAATTAAAATTGACTATTTTATAAAGTTTAATTCAGCGAGATTAATAATTTAAATTATTATTGAATTGCTGTAACAAGGAATTTTATGTCTGAATTCTGATATGTTAGAATTCAATTCAATACGGTTTCTTTTGTTAAAGTACATATATGAGTCGAATTATATTTTGTTTGGTTGGAAAAGAGGAGGTCGGGTTCAGATTTGACATTCAACAACACGTCCAAATTCAGCTCATGTATATATATATATATATTTTTTATATTTTATTATTATAAACATACGTATATTTATAAAAAAAAACAAATAAAATACATTATACTAATAAACACAATTTATTCAGATTGATAAATATAATTTGATTTATTATTATATATCAATAAATATGTTTTAATTAATAAAATAAAATTATATTTATATAAATATAATAAAATGATTGACTTGAATTTGAGTCGAACTATTTATAAACCGATACATTAATTTTACATGTTGGAAATAGAATTGATTTTTTATAATTTTTCTTAGGGGGTTGGATCCTTGAACGTTTAGGCAATATGATAAAAAAAAAAAAAAACATAAATTTAATCTCTCAATACACATTAGATTATATTTTTTTTTTTAATTTTAATTTTAATTTTTCCTCACAAAATAACATTTTCACAACATTCAAGCAAACACAACTCTGTGCTTGTTGTTTCCTTTTTTTTCGAAATTTCAGTTATCTTAAATCTACCCTTCCTTAGATCCCACTTTTCTTAAACTTTTCAAACTACCTAACACAAAAAGAGTAAAACAAAAAACCAAAAAGTCTTTTCCACATTTTACATGTAAATGGAGATGGACCTAAACTTACTCAAGGTATAATTACATACGTGTGAGTAACTCAACACATATTATATATATATATATATACCACCTTGCTGCCGTATATTTGTCCGGGCATGAATGAGAACTAATCCAAGAAGGGAGGGGGGGGCAAGAGAATATTAGGTTAATAATCTGAACCCTCCAATCATATTTTAGAATTTGCTGGTATGGTTGGAGAACTACTCCCTTTTAGTTCCCTCAATTCCCAATTCTTCAAACTTAATCCTACTTTTGTTTTCCCCCATTTTCGTTTCTGTTTGTTATATTCATTGCTTTTTTTTTTTTTTTTTTACTTGGGTGAGTGAGCATTTTTCTTCAAAAGGTTTCCATAAAAATGAAATTTTAAAAGGCAGTGTGATGTGATCTGATTTGACTTGGACGACCACCTTTCTTTAAAATAAATAATGATTGAAAATTTAAAGAGGTTAATTTGATGGGAAGCAAGTATGATTTGTACCTCCATTCAATTTATTTTAATTTTTTTATGGTTCTATTCTGTAGTTTGAATTTATTTTAAGTCGGTCCCAGAAATTTATTTTTCATTATTTTATATGAATGTTTAGGTTTTAGATTTTTATTTTGTTAATTTTGATTAATTTAGTGTTAAACTTAGAAAAAATTTGTATTTAAAAGCTCAAACGCTTGCATACATCATTTAAAGATCACTAAAAATAAGAGTGTTCAAATATATGTTTAATTTACAAGATAATAAAATATATTCCTGAATTTTGTTGGAGACTAAACGTTTTTCTGAAAACCGTGTTGATGACTCTTGCTCAAACCATTGATCTCGCACAGGTCGCCGCCGAATGCGCTTTTGTTACAAAAGCTTAAAAGGTGCAGATCATTCAGTTCTACAAATATTTCCATCAAAATAAATATGAACACCAACTTGAAAGAGATGACATACCTCATTGTTCATCTTTCTTGCCAATAAATAACAGAACAGTTTATGACTTTCTATTTTACATGAGAGAATATGTCTGTGTGTGTGTGTGTATATAGCAGATTACATAACTTCATACATGCTATATCTCTGATTTAATACCAGTGAAAAGTCCGGTGAAATATCTAGTGTGGCACGGTAAAGAAATAAAATCAAACTGAACCATATTTTCTTTCCCTCAGTCTCCAGGTTCCTTGAGGAGAAACTGGGGGACGACCCCAGGAGGCTTCACTGGCAACAGCACTATTTAGGTCTTCTGGTCGTGAGTAGCCTTGTCCCGTTCCGTTTACCTGTATCAAATCAAACTCAATTCAAGGCCTGTTCATGAGGTGGCAAAATTCAAATGGGTGCAGATTAAGTTCCCATTCAATTTAGGAGGAAAACAGTGCAGATAGCCTGATTTAATCCAAACATGGACTTGGTAACACAAAATTACATCACGGTTGGAAGCAGGGAGCATCTGTAAACTGCTGCCACAGCTACACGAAATTAACCTCTAAGCTGTCATCTTAGGACCCAAAAACCCGAATCCATACGCTAAGTCACCCACCCAGTGTTACCTTACAATCATATGATATTCAACAGTAGAACATTAATGTAACTGCCAAGATCATTCAAAAGCATTTCATATGGTCACAACAAATTTTTCTTTGAGCAGCTATTAACTTCGCAGATGAAAATTTTACCCAGAAAGTAATGAACTTTGACCAGACTGACCTGTCTAGACAGACTCTTATCTTCACATATGCAAATAATATCGATTTGCCAATCATTTACCATGATTTAAAATGTCCAGTAGCATATTTGACATAAAGGTAAAGTAAACTTACTGTCTCCATGCAAGCAGAAAGAATTGACATGCCCGGCAATGCATCAAGCCCTCGCTGTAAACAAATATAATTGAAGATGTATTGTTAGCAAAATGTAGCAACAGTTACTGTATCTCTCCAGGCTGGAACAAGAAGCCAAAAAATCTAAATGGCATACCAGTCCTTCCACCCTCGCCTTGTAAACATAGCCTCCACAACAGAACAATACAGATGAGACAATTAATCTGCTCAACACCAATCACTTCAAATTTCAAAACATGGTGCAATAAGATGAATACAATTTTATTAGTTGCTTACTTTTCAGCAGGGAGAAAAGGGATGATGAGAAAAATAAATTTAAAGCATGGTGCACAATCACCAAATTGAATTAGGTCACTTGTTCACCTACAGAAAATTCATAACCAATAAATGGAGTTCAATCTTGTCTGTATTTGTGTTGGGGTGTGGAATTTGGATAGGAAGACTAGCAGCTTTTCCATGAACCAAAGTTCTACAAGCATAACCAAAACTTTCTTGAAAGCATAAAGATACAATCTACACAATCTATAATCTGGCTCAAATTTTTGGCTATAACCTATAACAAGGATACTCCATACTACACGTGATTTGTGTTTCAATTATTTAGCTTTTAACTTCATTTTTAATTTTGAGTTAGGAAATTGTCATACATGCAAGAGAAAACTCCAAATAAAGCCCATCCTTTCATAGAGTCTCCTCCTTGATTCTGCTTAGACTCTGCAAATTTAAGGAAGCCAGACTAGTATCAGCAAAATAAACAAGAAATTTTAACCAAGGTAGAAGATAGCATGATTCTTTAGTTAATATGTGCAGAACTACTCAAACTAAATGAACTTTATTCCTTCTGAGTTTTCTGAATGTGTTATAGGGAAAAGGGAGGAGAATAGAGAGAAGAGTTTGTTTAGAACAATATGAGCTCACCGCACATTTTGGTGAGCACAAACTGGATGGGCTCATAACCCTTAATTGGTATGCTAATATTGACTTCATA